CCCGCCCCGCGCGCCAGGATTACCCCGGCCAGCTGCTCCCCGCCGACGCTCCACGGGAGGCCGGGGCACTCCGGAGCGCCCCCCGAAGAAGGTGACTTCAAGACTGAAGGTAGGACTCTGCTTCACAAACAGAAACCTCGGGCTTCCGCACCCCATCCGGGCTGCGGTGCAGATCGAGGATCTTGAGTCGCAGCCTCCGAGAAAGGGCCCCGCAGGACCCAGCTGGCCGGTCACGGGGATGTCTTGTTTTTGACTTGGATTTGCGGGCTTAGAGATGGTGTGTGCTCCTTGGGAGGGGTGGCCGACCAGGAACGGGTTTGTCCAGTAGGAGACGGAAGGAGGCGCCCTGAGCGTGGGCGATGCGTGGGGGTCGGGGATCCCCGGGGAGGGGGACACAAGGGGCCAGTCGGGAGGGGCCAGAGCCACCGTTTTTTAAGACACTTCGGATAAGAGCTGCTGTTGAAGCCCAAGAAGGGAATGTGGGGTGCGGGGCGTGGTTCCAGCAACGCTGCGCCCCGCCGGGTACGCCGCCCTTGTCCCGTGCTCCTCACTTTGGCTCGCGAGGGACCCAATCTAGGGTTGAGCAAAGCTGCGTCTTCTACCAGCTGGAACGGTTTATGACCCCTCACGAGGACATGCGCTCCTGTGGGGCCCGAGGGACCTTTACTCCAAACCACTAAACGGTTCGCTTGGACAACTCCCCCAGCACTGATTCACAGAACGTTTTGTTTATAGTATCCGCAAATCAAAGATTTTAAAGATGAAAGATGTTTCCGAAAGAGAATGACATTTCCTTTTCTATCATGTTGCTACTCTCTAATAGGCAGTTTATAAATACTAGAGTGAAATTAAGTCAATTATGCCTGGTGAGATGGGGTAAGGAGGGGACTACAGCTGTCATCCTAGGAACCATTTCTGGGAGAAAATTTCTATGACTGTAAACAGTAAACACGTCTCATAAAAAGGTCAGGTTGAGTTTGAAATAAGAGGATGGCATAAGCTCTGTAAATAATATAGAAGTATCTTTACATACGCATAGAATAGTACTTTCAGACTTTGCACTTCTAAATTCACTTTGCAGATGAATTGAAAAGTAAGGTGCAAGGGGTCGATCCTACCCCCTGAAGGTTACTCTGGCCATAAAACATTAACCTGTAATGTACTGTGGCTCTTTTGTTTTGAAAGGGTGCAGCACCCATCCACAGTTAATTGCCTTCAGGATTTCTTATCAAGCCCACTGTCCCTAGGGTGCAGCCTTCAGGACACACGGGTAGGTAGGGTGGGCCTTGGGAAAGGAGGTCTGTGTCAGGGTTTGAAAGAAAGAAAAGACTCCTCAGATTGGGCCACACGTAGAAGAAACAAATAGGATGTAACAGAACGTGACTGGGGAAACCCAGGCGGACTCAGGATTTCAGGCTTGCCCTGACTCTTTCAGCCTTGAACTCTGAGCCTGCCCTGCTGGGCATAATCGAGGACATAGAGTCAACCTCTCCCTAATCTACAGTGATAGGAAGACAGCGTCAGGAGCAGCAAAGTTTCCCCAAACTGCCTTTCTGCTCACCTTCTCACACCTTAAATTGCCCGACACCACACCTGGCACAGAACTTCCTTTAATCTCTGCTGCTTCTGATCAATCTCTGTAAGTCCAGGCAGGTCACACTTAGCAACTCTTTCCTAGAAGGGAAATAGTGACCCATTCCAGCCTGTTTCCTGGGACACTGAGTTCTTTTCTCACCTGTTCTGCCACGTGCTCAGCCCTGCTTTCTTTTTTTAATTGATTTTTAATTATAGTTGATATACAATATTATAGTAGTTTCAGGTTTACAACATAGTGATTAGACATTTAGATACCTTACAAAGTGATCATGATCACCAGGATAAAAGTCTAGTACCCATCTGGCACCGTACACAGTTATTATGATCTTATTGACTTTGTTCCCTATGCCGTATTGTATATCCCCCTATTTTTACAACCTGGCAATTTGTATTACTTAATGCCTTTCACCTTTTCACTCATCCCCCACCCCCTCCCATCTGGTGACCATCAGTTCTTTTTATCGATGAATTTATTTGTTAGTTTTATTTTGTTTTTTAGATTCCACATATAAGTGAAATCATATGGCATTTGTCCTTCTCTGTCTGATTTATTTCATTCAGCATAATACCCTCCAGGTCCATTCATGCTGTCACTGATCAGCCCTGCCTTCTTCAGCGACTCGTCTGTTTCCCAGAGGTTTCTCCAAGTACCTTTGCTGGCTTCCAGGAGGGGATTCTCCAGGACACACTGCTTGGGAACTTCTGGAATCTGATTCATAGCCCGAGCTTCCCTTCTTTTTTTTATCAAAACTATACACATACAGCGCATAATTTAAAAAGCCAAATACTTCCACAAGGCTTATAACTAGAAACGGCAGTCACTTGCCTCACCAGCCTCAGCAGCTATGCCCCACAGGCAACCATTTTCAAATCTTTGTATGTATTTCTAAACAGCACGTGCCTACTGCTCACCCTGGTTCTTCACATTCACCAAGCCCTCCGGCCTCCTGCCATGCTCCGGATTTGTGCCCTGGGGCTTGCTGCATGGCCATCATCCTGGAGTCTCCTCTCATCTTCACACCGAAGAGTCAGTTTGCCTCTTTCTCCTGTGGCCTCCCATTTCTAGACTCCACATCTTCCTCTGTCTGTTTCTTTCTCTGTTTGTTTCCTCTCCCTCTCTGGTAGAACATCTTCTAGAAGTTCCTGAGAAAGGGGACATGGGAGACACGTTTTTCGAGATCTCCCAAGTTTGATAGTTTGATGAGGCCTGAGCTCTACTTTTCCCTCGGAATTCGGAAAGCACTGCTCTTCCGGGTTCAGTGCTGCTGTCGAGAGGTCTGATGTCATCCTAATTCCTGATGCTTTGAATATAATTATTTCCCCATCGGAAAGTTTTTAGGGTTCTCTCACTGTCCTTTGTCATGTCTTTTTTCTCTGTAATGAAATCTCTATGTAATATACCTTGTTGTGAGTCATTTTTTCATCCATTTCTCAGTCTGGAAACTCCTGTCCTTCAGTTCTGAACAGTTTAGAATTAAACTGGAATTAAAAAAAAATTCTGGAACACCTATTAAGTTAGAAGGGGGTCCCTCATGGATAGAATCTCTAATTTTCTTACTTTTCACTTATATTTTCTATCTCCATTTTTTTTTTTTTTTTTAAATTCTACTTCCTGGGAAATTTCCTCATTTTATCTTCCGACCCATATATTGAATTTTCATGTCTACTATCACATTTCTAATTTCCAAGAGCTCTTTAAAAAATCTCTGAAATGTTCTTTTTATAACCTCCCGTTCTCGTTTTACGGATGAAAAGCTTTTCAACTCTGCACGGATCTGTGACAGCTTTTCTGAAGCATTCCTCTACTCTCTGCATGATTTCCTTTCCCTGATCTCCTCTTAGCTTTTTGTTTTGTTTTGTTTTGTTCTAAATCTTGTGTGTTAAAAGGCTTTCCTCAAACGTCTGATGACTTGAACCGATCACTGAAAAGCTAAGAGGAAGGTCTGCATGCGTGCATGGGGCCCGTACCGTGGACTCGTTCCTCTTGACCAAGAATGACGCCCAGAACAGTGTTTCAGAATCCAGAACAATGCCTGGCACCCAGTGAGCTTTACATACACGCCGGCTGGGTAACCGAGTGTGCGTGGTCTTGTGAGGGCCCAGGTAGTAGTGATTATTAAAAGCTCTTCAGGTGATTGAAATGTGCAGCTGGGCCTGAGCACTTCTGCTGTAGGAGTAACCTGCGGAGCAGTTTTACTGGTGGACTCTCACCTGTTGGTGGAAGGTCTTTCAGAGGAAGAGAGATCCTCCCACACTGAGAGGACTCTGTGGCATTCTGTGAACCCGATGCTGTGGGAAGGAGACCAGGAGTCTACATTTGGTATGGAGACTTTTTCTTTTTCCTGTTTTAAAGCTGCACCCTTGTCCCTCAGCTATGCATGGCGTCTCTGATTCAGCAAACAGGTTATAGGATGCAGGCAGCCTCTCGGAAACTGGGACTGAGGTTGGAGGGAATATATGGGTTCCGACAGCTCCAAGCACAGTATTAGCCAGTCTTCTTGCTTTTAGGGCCCCCTGTTCCCTCAGTGCCTGGTTCCCCCAATTCCAGAGGCTCTCTGGAACTCTGTGACATGAATCCCAGCCTGCTCTCAGGCTTCCCTCACTGCTGTGCTAGGTTTCAGCCTTTTCCCATCTGCTAAGTCAGTTACCACTGGTTGGACCATTTCCAGCTTCCACAGTGTCGTCGCAGTCAGTGTTTCTTCTGTTATCTTTATCTTTGAGGGTCGAGCGAACCCTTCTCCCCACACTTAAAAAAAAAAAAAGTTTTTTATTCTCATTTCAGTCCATCGTGGTTGTTGGCGACTGAGTTGCCTTGCCTGATGCCCCCAGCTCCACGTTAGAACCCTCCTCTCAACTCTCGCTTCTGTTTTTATACCCCTGCAAGTGCCCGTTTGGGACAGAAATGCAAATGGACCATGTCGTACTGTCATCTCAGCGGTATTCATTACAAATGTCTCAGGCCATGAGTAGCGTGGCTATTGGGCATTTATACTAAGTATATTAGCGTCTTTTCCATCTAGTCATTAACTGTGTTTCTTTGTACGTGTGGGGTATCGGGCAGAGGCACTTCTGAATGTGTTCGATGCGGAAGCTTATCAGAATTCTCTCTGTGAGAATAACTATACAGCATGTTAACTTCGTTGAACTGTATTCCCCATTCATTTGCTTCTTTGGTCCTCACCAGAAACCCATCAGGTGCTTTGGTGGTCATGTGGACCCAGAAGCATCCATTCTCTGAGATGATTAGCCACTCCGGTCTGTCGTGGTACCTCCATTCCACACCCCAGAGGCAAGTGTAGGAAAGCGTATGGGAGCCAAGTCTGGGCAATGAGGTGTGAAGGAAAGTCTCTTATGGAGCTTCTAGGGAAGGTTTGCTCATTACTGAGAAAAAGACACAAAAAATAAATGACCCAGTTGCTCCCTTGGCCTCTGCTGTCCAGAACTGCCCTAGGCATCTTGCCTCCAGCCCTAGGATGAAGCCAGCACGCAGGAGAGAGCAGATCCCAGCGAGTC